AGGGAGGGAAGGGGGGGGGGTCATAGAAGATCAGCTCTCTCTTTAGTCACCATAAACACTTAAACATTACATTACCGAGTCCCCAGAGGCCACAAGCAATCCCTTCGGGTGGGTTTTATTGGAGTCACTGACATTAGCCGTCTGCTCCATCACTTCCCTGGGGAATGGCCACTTGAGCTGTCTTTGCTGGCAGCCAGTGCTTCCACTGCGGGGCCTGATCTAAAAGGGGGGGCAGGAGGGTGCAGCGGCAACACCTTCCCTTTGCACAGGGCATGAGGGAAGGGGCCCTTCCCAGGACACCAACCTGTACTGGTGAATATCTTCAAAGGATTTGGTGTTGTTGATAGCAAAGACGCAGAGGAATCCTTCCCCTGTTCTCATGTACTGGTCTCTCATGGCACTGTACTCCTCTTGCCCTGCTGTATCCAAGATGTCTAACAAGCAGGTCTCTCCATCAATGACGACTTGCTTTCTGTAGGAATCCTGCAGGCCAGGAAAGGGAAAGAAAGAGAGGAGAATGCATTATGGGAGGGCTCAGGTCTGGCAAAGCAAAGGGGTGCAGTGAGTGCATCCCTGGGAAGATGCCAGGTCATGTTCTGCCTGGGTTTAGATCTCATTAAACAGCCAACTCAATCTGTTTCACAAATGGGAGAGAAAGCAAAAAGAAGAAAAAGAAGGGGAAAAAAAGGGAAAAAGGGAGCAGCTGAGCAGGTTTCCTCATCTCTGGCAAAGCCACAGAGAAGACAGCCCGTGGCTTGCTCTCTGCGTTTCCAGCCCTGCCTCTGGCAGACCAGGGGCAGCTTTGTCTCTACCACACTGCATAGCCCTCGACAACTATTTTCCTAAGCTTTATTTAGTCCCAGCTAATCCCTTCTACGGCTTCCCTGCCTGGGAGCTAGAAGGGGACATCAGAAAAGGTGGCTCCAGCCAGCCAGGGCTTCTATCCTCCATCTATGATTACAGCGCTGGAAGGTGCTTAAGATCACCTGGAAATCCAGCACTTCCAACACCTCTCAGATCAGGCACGAGGGGATATGCCACCAGTAAGGCTGCAAACTGGGCTTGATGGTAAACCTCTTCTTCAAACGTGAGGAAAAAAAATAAATACATATCATGCTGTGAGAAGGTGTCTCCCACAACCAGTCTGTGCCCAGTGGGCTCCAGGAGAGATAAGGACTACCCACGCAGGTCCTTTGAAGTTGGGTGTTTTCCCCGCAGCAGAGGCAATCGCAACTTATTGCAGATGTGAGAAGGCATGGAAATCACCTAGGGCATCCCTCAAAAGGCTTCATTTTCAAGGCAGGCTCCTCAAAGCACGACTCCTCCCCATCATGCCTCTCCCCTGTGCCTGGTCTCATCAGCAGAGATGCTGCTGGGGCAGCCCCTGCACAGAGGAACAGCCTCATCCCTCTCCGACAGCCACCCTCTGCCCCCCATCCAGCAGCCATCCCCCAGGTACAGCGCAGCATCCTTGACGAGATCAAGAGAACAAAGGCAAAAAACAAAGGTATGAAAAAGGTGCAAGTCACCAATATGACCATGACATCGCTTTGCAGCTGCTTGCAGAGGCTACAGCTGCAGTTTAAAATTAATTCAAACGTCTGCTGCTCTTCCAGCGACAACAACAATGTTATCAGATGAGCTTTGCAGGTCTGCACACAAACAGCCAACGCAGCAAAGGTCACCGACAGGACCAGCAGCCGCACGGAAAGGGAATGGGGCCAATACAGCCTCTGCCCTTTGCTTCATTACTACAACCACCTCATCTACTGGGGCTAATTAAAGTCTTTCCTCCCCTTGTAGAAAGGGCCACGAAATCAGAGGAGATGAGATCTGCTCTGCCACAACCTTCTCAGCCATGCCTTCCCAAAAAGGGGACTGCCTACACACCGGGAATAAGCGTGCAGTGATGGGCTGGCTTCCAGCCAACCGGCAGGCTGTCCTGCAGGGATGTGCTCCCATTTCTAATCAATAATGTATCTGGAGCCTCCTCCTGGCAAGGTAGAAAAGCACTGCTTCTATCTCTGGGGTCCCAGTGCCTGGCAGGGACTGGCAAAGGGGACCCCAGTGCCTGCTCTGCCCAGCGGAGCATCCTACCACCCCTGCGCCCTGGCTCGCGTCCAGAGGACCAGGCTCTCGGCACACGCATTCGCAATTAATTGCCAAGTTCCAAATTACAGGAGGTCTCTGTAGGCATGCTGCCTATCAGTGAGAAGAGATCCCACACCTCAGCTCAGGTCATTAACAGGCTGCCTGTAAGGCCAGCCAGCTCACTAATGAAGCAAAGGCATTCACAGTCTTGCAGAGGATGCTTTGCACCCCGCTCCCCAAAGGAATGGGACAACTTGTCCCAACTCTTGCTTTGTGTCCAGCTTCACCCAAACCCTCCCGGGATGGCGGCTCAGCCATCCCTGCGATGCTTGCAGGTGACCTGGCTGCCACTGCAGGGGCAGCTGCCACCAGCCTACGTGTCCTGCCACTGGCACCCTGCAGCCTCAGCGCTCCTCTGCAGGCCCCCATATCCCACCTCATCTTCTTGCGTAAGAGAAAGTGGCCAGACCCAGCTGTGAAGTGTCAGGTGGCAGAAATGATGTTCGCTTGGGGTTCAGACTCAGGATCCCAGACAGATGCTGGGAGCACCCAGGTGTGCTGGGGGACCAGGCCAAGAGGCCCACTCATTAAATGCCACAGTCAGGATACGACTGGAGGCCTGGGAAGCCCATTACTAGCTGACTGCTAAAAGCTGGAAGACAAACCAAAGTATCTCTCAACACAGTCTGACTCTTTACTCCATCCCCGCTCATTCGCCATGGGACACTGCCCACAGCATACACTTCCTTGGTGTCTTGGCTCTCCCGTTCCCAAAATAAAGGTCTTAAGGCTCCTCAGCAGCCAAAGAGCAGCTGAGTTACAAAGCCAGACATTTGCACTGTGAATCGGGAGGGCAGGAGGGGAGCAAGCACTCAGTCGGGGTCCCTACCTGAGACAGGGGATAAACTCACTTCCCCACCCCTCCTGCCCTGGGGAACATCTTCTCAGTGCACCCCAACCTGCTCGCACCCCTCTTTGCAGCACAGCCTGCACTCGATTCATTTAAGCAACAAGTAAAGCCTTTGATCTATGCACATATACTTTTTTCTTTTTCCCCCCTTTTACCCTGCTCATTTCAGTATTGCTGTGCCGCGCGTTAGCTGGCTGAACAATCAAGAGTCAGCTCCTGGGCATGATCCAAAGCAGCTTAGTCACAGGAGAGTGGTTTGTTGGTCACATTCGGATGGCTGGCAGGTGTGCCAGCTCTGTGTGTCCCAAATCCCCCTAAAATGAAGCATAATTAAAAGTAGTCACCCTGGAATGGGTAAGAAGGTGACTGGGGTGGGGGGGATGCCAGGCACAATGAAGGGACCTGAAGAGGCATCAGGGCTGGTGGAAAAGCACCAGGGGCAAGAGGGGTGAGGAGCACCTCACAGCTGCCTAAAGGAAGAGAAGAGCAGAGTGGGCCTGGGGGGAACAGAGCAGGCGTCTCTTGTGGCATGGCAGGAGTGGGCAGGGCAGGGAGGGTGTGCTGGGAAACGCCATGCAAGGTTTACATTCCCGCTGCCTGTTTACATGGAGAAAATTCCCTGCAGGGTACTTAGAGGGGGCAGGCAGCTGGAGACAAAACAAAACAAAAAAAATCCATGATGATAAAACCCAACACATCACTGGGTCAGAGCTGCCTCTGCCCACCCTAAGGTCCACGAGAGGACTCGTCCATGCAGATGTCTCCTCAAGGAGGTTGCTCTCCATCAGCAGCTCTTTTGCCACAAACACCCTGGAATGGGTTTTTAAGACAAGCATCAGACACTACTGGTGAGGAGCGTGTGAGGGGAGAGGAGGGGAGAAGGGAGAAGGCGGCAACTGCATCCATAAGCAAGGTGCCGCACTGAAACTCAGGAGCCCTTAAATTAAATTCCAGTCTCTGCCACGGACTTTTTAGGTGACCTTGGCCAAATGATGTAATAGCACATGCTTTTAAATGCTTTCTCTCCTTCCTGTCTGTAGGACTGTAAGACTATTTCTGCCTTTCTACCAAGCCTTGTCTTTCTTGTTTATTTAAGTTGCAAGCTCTTCAGGGTGGGGACTACACATACAACACCTACTAGAACAGATTTCTGATCCCAGCTGGGGCCTTTTAGCCATTATTATAACAACTGCAGCAACCACAGCTGCATTTATACACATCTGGTAGAGAATCATTTAGGACTGCAGACAGGGAGGTTATTGTCCAAGAGGCATGATCGAGCTGTAATTTGCCTTCCCAGGGTGGACTTAGTCCTTGTGCAAAGCAGCGGCTGCTGCCTACATCTCTCCTGAATGAAGGTGTAAGTCATGCCAAGGGTAATTAGCATCTCACTAACAACAGTGAAAGCAGTCAGAGAAAGGAATATGTTTTTAAAAAAAAAAGCAGCATAATAGATATTGAGGACCGGTTTCCGCCTCTGCCCAGCCTGGAAGAGCACAGGGTCCCTGCCTGCTTCTCCAGGCAGGGTGCTGAGATAGACAGGCCAGTGCTACCATCCACATCGACTATGAGACCCACACATCAACCTTTAACTCCTCGTGACAGAGCAGAGGCAGCACTCTGGGAACGACAGTGGTTCAGCTGCTCAGCACGTCTCACTCAAACTGCAGGACATACATTATACGACCAAGCTCTGACAAAACCCATTTCATCAGTAAATCTCAAAACATCCTGCATAAGATGTGGAGGATGTTTACTCTGAATTCACAGGAGGAGAAATGGAAGCACAGGCACAAAATGGCTCTTCAGTCTCAAACCTTTAACCCCTCCCTACACTGACATATCAGAAAGGAGGACTTTTGTGCTGCCTCTCAGCCCCTGCCCAGCTCTGCCCACTTCCGCTGCCTCCCTCTCTGCCCGTTTTTGCTGCCTTCCTCGCTATCTCTCTTCAGCCGACACCTCTGTCCTTCTGCAGGAGGCACAAATTGGTCACTATGACCTCCAAACACATGCGTAGCAACTGAGAACAGCTCTGCGAAGCAGAGGAGCATCCCTGCTCAAGTTCAGACTTCAGACCAAGGCGAGCATGCTCTAGGTTGGAGACGAGGTGAAGAAGAAGAGGAAAACACACAAATAGACCAAACCCATGCCCAGAGCTGCTTACCTCTATTGTAGGGTCATACTCATCAACAAAATGGTTCTGAATGAGCTGTATTGTCAAAGCACTCTTCCCGACACCACCAGCTCCCACCACCACCAGCTTATATTCGGTCATCTTCCAGCCAACCCCGGCTCAGGACTTCCAGGAGCACCACCACCTGCAAGGAGAAACATGTCTGCTGTGTTAGGAGAAGGGGTCTCTCCCTGTCGCACCTTCTCCACAGCAGGGCCGAGTGGTCAGCCCTCCCTTTTCTGCTGGGAAAGACAGAAGAAATCTGCAAAGCATAGCCTCCTCATTCCTCAGGTACTGAGCGTTCCCAATGTCTCCTGCATGTTCCAGGAGCACCCAAATGCTGCGAGGCAGACACACTGAGGTCTGGGATCCTGCACATCGTAACACAGAGACACCTAATTCTGAAAGGCACAGGTGAAGGGATGCACCCCTTAAGGTTTTAACCATCTTTAAGTTGCTTGACTTCAACAGGGACTGAGGATGGGACAAGGTAAACCTACTTCTCTGCTATTCTAGAAATAAAAAGAGCCACCCCTCACTCCTTGGGGTGAAAACCAGGATGCCACCATCAGGGATCCAACGTCCTTTCAATGTACCTTTATGACATTGTCCACAAAATTGCCATCGCAGGGTATTCTGCTCCAGGACCACCCTGGTCTCTCATCTCAAGCTCACAGATGTACCAGCCTGGCAAGCTTGGCCTGGAAACAGGGAGATGGTAGGATGGCTCATGTGCCCCAAGGGTCAAGGGCTTTCTTACCTTCTTCCCACCCAGTACACTGACTACTCTGGGAATCTGGCCACAGAAAATTACATTTATTTCAGTCTGTCACTCTGTGCTGTGCCTCAAGGATCCACTGTCTTTCTTCTGCTTTTATGGTCCAATGCTCTGTGGTCTCAAACGTGAGGTAGCCTCACCTAAAACCATGAAACTTGGTCTAAAAGTACAGGATGAAACTGTAGCATCCAGAGCTATTTAACTTAATAGTCTCTGCTACTAATGAAGGTTACTTTAAAATAGGCAAAATAATCCACCAAACTGAATAAAAAACTATGCTTATCCTGTGACATGCTGCAATCCTTCACCCTGACAGTATGAATGCCAACTTCACACATTCCCCAAGTAAACCTCAATAGGCAAGGGAGCGTTACTGGAAAGAAAACAGAGGTGCAGGCTCTGTAAATCAAAAGTAAACCCTAAAGTAAGCAATTTAAGAGGTCTGGTCTCCGCTGTGTCTCCGATTTGCCTTATCTCAAGCTGGTGATCCAAAATCATTAGCTAGATTTGAAAGCCTTGACCAATGTGGTTTGGATGTCAGTGCCCATGGGAGCAGGCAAGAAGTCCCAGCCCTCCTGATTATGCTGTTAGCTCCATGTGTTCACCCTCAAGGCTGCGTTAAACCTCAAACCGCAGGTTTGACATGGAGGCACATCCCCACCCTCTGCCCATCCTCCAGCTGAGCTGGCAATCACAGGAGGGAGAAGGACTGCGGAAGGGGCACCCCTGCTCCCACAAGATGAAGCTGTTATGCCCCACAGGGGAGCAAGAGACCTTATCACGAAAGGTGCTAATTGGGAATGATGATTAGGTTCAGAAAATTTATTGCTCTCCCCCCCGCCCCCCCCGAAATTTCTGCTCCAACTCCACCGAGAAAGAGGAACTTGAACTCAGGAAGATTACAAAACCCCGAAGGTTTAAATAGAAATCCACCATCACTGGACCACAAGCCCTGCCCACTGAAAGTCACCCCAGGGTCAGATATTCATCCACAGCCATCATCTGTGAGCGCTGGGGAAGCCACCCAAAACACCACAGACAGCGGGAAGACGAGCTCATGGTCCCCCTGGCTGGTGGTTGCTCGATGCAGCCTGCAACACCATTGCACAGCAATCAGACCACCCCTCAAACAGCTACATCACTCCACCCTCCTCCTCCGCAGCTCCCCAGCCCCACTCCTGAAACCCTGGAAACTGGTACAAACTGTGCCGGCCAAGGTCACTCTAGACCCAGCCTGCATCTGATGCATTTGCTAACACAGCAAAGATCTAATGGAAAGGAGGGCAGAACTTTCTGCCTTCAATCCCCACCTGACTGCAACCTTAAACCACTCAAGCTGGGAGCAGACACAACTGCCTCTAGCCAAAGCCCTTCTCTGAGCTGCTGTCTCAGTAGCGGGAAGACAAACAAAGCTCATGCCCTTCTCAGCATCCAGGACCCTGAAAAAGGGCAAGGGAGGGCATGCAAAAGAGCAACCAGAGCATAAACACAACGCCTAGCAGCACCTCTGCTTGCTGTGCCATTCTTCACTGCTGGAGAAGCTGAAGGTCATTAAACATGATGGAAAAGTGGTGATGGTGGGGGAAAGGAGGTACAAACAATGTGATACTCTAGGTCCATATCTCAAAGTGCCACTGTTTCCCAGAACAGTCAGTCCAATGTGCCTTTGTTCTGGTGGCCAAGGAAGAGATGCAGGTTGAAAGCAAGGCTACAGGAGACAATCTAAGTGATCACACTAATTGACTATGTGGACATTGCTCTGCTCCATTAATGCACACCCTCACATGCACGAGCTTCCCACGTACACTGCTTCTCTAGACAAGAGAGATTCCCACTCCAGGCTTCTCGTCTCTCTCAGATGGGAAGAGAATTACCATGAAGGGCTGTGACCAGCTGAAGTGAAGACTAAGGAGCAAATGCTGACTGACCATCTCCACCAACACTGCTGGCCAGAAGGGGATTGCTCCTGCAGCAGAACAGCTTCACAGCTGAACACAGAGGAGTCTTGAGGGTCTGAGGAAACTCTGCAACCAGCTCCCATCTTTCACACAGAGCAGGGAGATCTGCACCCCCTAGCAAAACACATGGCAGCTGCAAATAAAGGCCTGCAGTGGCTACGATGGACCTCGCTCTGCTGCTGCTGCTGGCACAGCTGCTGCTATGATGCTCAAGGGAACTGCACAACTGCCCAGGTGTATGGGACTTGCTAAGGCAGTGAGAAAATCCTAGACTCAATCTGGGGAGGATAATACGCGAGTCCTCAAGGAGGGGGTCCTTCCTTGAGACCACCCCAGTGGAAGGCACTGCTTGGCCTATCCCTTCAGAAGACACCCAGCCCACAGAGCCACACCAGCCTCCTCGGTCACACTGCAGCAGGAGTTGGGGGCCAAGGAGGTTGCCCACAGCAGCTTAAGGGTCTTCCCCTGCTGTGGAGTCCAGCTGAGCCACTGAGCTCCACTGCACACCAGCAAGCCCTGCACATCACCACCCCAGCTCTGGCTCCTCCAGAGAAACACAGACCCATGTCTCCCTGCTCTGCACCCACCCAAGAGGTGGGGGAAATGAGGAGGATGAGAAAGCCATTGCTCCCCACCACTCACAGCCAACACACAGACAACTCACGTACAAGAAGTCTGCAGCATTGGCGTTTTGTCACTCACATCATACCTAGAAGTACACCTTAGCTAACCCTTCACAGCTCTGCATGTCATCCTCGCCCCAGCAATAAGAGAAGAGATTCTGCGGCTCGCAGAGGACAGTGGGTCCAGCCCACCCATTTCATACCATTGCTGCAAAACATGCCCTAACGTAGAGCAAGAGCGTGGGGAATGATGGACAGCTCTAGGCATGAGAGCTGCCTGAATTAATGAGTGCTAAAATCAACATTCAGAGGAGCTTGCTTCCTTTCCCAAAGGATCCACGATGCAAGCTCTTCACAGGGAGCACATCTTCGAGCACATGCAAATGCCACAGGAGAGGGAGCCTGGCCAAAGGCTGCGGGGAAAGTAGGGATTTCCATATGACCAAGCTCTGTTACAGTTGTGCAGCTTGTCTTACCCGTAAGTTGACCTTACCAACACCATTTCATAGCTCCCCATCACGCTCTCTGCTCCTGAACATGGGAAGAGCAGGGCTGCTCATCAATGCACACGCAGGTTTTGACACAGGGGTGGCTGTTCCTCAACACCACATGAATATCACCACCAGTGCTTGAGCTGGTTCAAGGAACAGCCATTCCAAAGACCGTGTTTCTGGCTCTCCTACAACACAGAGGCAGGGAAGAGAGAGTGGGGCTTCTGCCTGAGAGATGGTAACAGACACCCCAAGTTTTCACGCTCAGTCTGCGGACACACCGGACAGAGGTTTACAGCCTATTGGTTGTTCTAAAAGCTTCTCCTGATGTGAGGATTTCCAGAGGAGGATAAACAAGAGTTTCTATTTCTCAGCAGCTAACGGAGAGCCCAGACAGAGCTGACCACAAAATAACAGATGGGAACATGAAAGCACAGCCTCCCAGTCCCACGCTGAGCTGAAACACCGCTTCTTCCATCCTCTGTAAGTTCTTCAAGATCTGAAAGCCTGACCCAGTTTGCTGTCTGGTGTTTTCCCTGCCTATCCAAATTTATCACCTCTGCAGTACTCAACAGTTGCACCCCCCAAAAGCCATAGAGGGCTGTCGAACAAACAGCTGAGCATGACAGCAAGGAGGAGAGATGTTCAGGAGCACCATCCGGGAAGAGGAGGGCTGGGATCCACGTGCCAAGCCAACAGCCCCAGCATGGAGCCGGAGCTGCTGCTCCTTAGTTCCTGACCTCATAGATTTTCTCCCGTAGCGAGAGGGCTCCTGGCTCCCGTTCAAAGCTGTCTATGAAAGCCTCACTGAGTGCTTCCGCCTGGCAGCAGCAGCTGCTCCCAGCCCAGTAGCCAGAGCCATGCAGCTCCAGCAAACAAGAAACATCTGCCAGCCTTGTGCAGGATGCCAGGAGAGCAAGCGTCCAGCCGTGGTGGGCACCAGCATCCTACCTGTGTCTTGCAGAGAGGGTATGAAGGTGTAGGTGAGGGCAGAAGGCACATCTCCTTATTTTCTCCCTGCCTGCATATGCTGGGCAGCACGGAGGCTTTGCGCACAGAAGCGAGGACCAAGATGCTTGGAGCAAGCTTTCGCAGGGCTAAGATCTAAAGCAGGTGTAAGGCATCAAGGTTAGCGGTGCTACCCAGAGACCGAGCTGTGTCCTGCAAAGAACAACCTGATGTTCTTCGCAGTCACTCTTCTCCCACACAGAGCTTCATCTGCAGGGGAGAGGTGGTTTTGAGGACCTGAACGTGAAACCTCCAGTAACTCACTCAGCAGAAGCAGAGGTGAGGAACTCAAGGAGCTTGGCCCCACCAGTACATCCCATCACACCACCACAGTTTCAAGAAAAGCTCAAATTTCAAGCGAAAGCGATTTGCAGTGGGTTTCCAACGCATTCACCATGAGAAGGAAGGCTCTGACGCCCTTCTAACAGGGTCACTGAAGCAGCTTTCTGTGCCCTCCCTTTCCTCCCATCACCTTGTTTCTCCCCCAGGATGGACACCAAGCCAACTGAACGAGCTAAGGGACAGATTTTTGCACAGCACTGCCGTACTGAGGCCATACATGACAGAAGTTTTACAGCTGTTCATTACTGAACATTTACCTTCCATCTGTGCATTGGGAGCCTCTGCAAATCTCTTTGGACATGTCTCAGATTGGACACCCTTTCCCCCAAAAGCCTTGTCCACAGGAACCAAGGAGCCCTTAGACCACAAATGCTGCATTGTTTGTGTTTCCCTTTGGCTGAGATGCCCTGCAGGCATAGTCCTCTAGCAGATGAATGCTCACCTCAGCCTTTGGCAGTCCACCACACCCACAGGTCAGGAATCCATCCTACTCAGTGATTTTAGAACACTGCCCAGGCAAACCTTGCTGGCTCACCCCGGTGACTGTCCAGTCTCCTGCATTTGCTCATGCACAAGACTCACCAACGTCACAAAAATACAGCCTCTGGAGGGACTGAAGGAACCGCTCCAGCGGTGTGAAATGCCACCTTTCATTTTCACTCAGGTCAAAATGCTGATGTTCTCTGTGGCCTACGCAGCCTGAAAGAGATGAGGGAAACGAGGCTGGCAAGCTGATGCTCTGTTACAAATCACAGCCTCTCCAATGCTTCATTTAAATTTATTTGATGCTTTTTCAATTAACAAGTGGGCTGCAAATCTAACCCAACATGCTTGTTATTGGCTTGCTGGCTGCACACCCACAAACTCAGACAATGCAGCCCACAGATGAAAACAGAGAGAGGAATACAGAAGATGGAATAAAAGCTGCAAATGGTGGCCATGCCTTGGAGAAACGACTTGGAAATAATAAATGTCTTCCATGAGCGGAAAAAAAGAGCCTAAGAGGAATGGAATGGCAGCTCTGCAAGCTCTTCAAAACCTGAAGGAAGAGGCAGCCTGTCCCAAAAGACTAAGCACAAAAATATTGCTCCAGAGAAAAAAAAGAAAAGGGGTAAGGAATGTTGTCATGTAGGAGGCTCAAAACACAGGCACGCATTCAAGGAGAAATCTGGGAGAAAGAACAGCAGAAAGCTGCGGGCAGGTTCGAGGCACAGGCAGGTCTGGAAGAGAGGGATTGCCTCTCCACAGCAGCCATAAACATGTCCCAACAGCAAGGTGCAAGCCATGGCTTTGCACAAGGTCTTGAACAGGCATGGACAGGTCCTTGCACCAGGCCCAGCCCTTGCACAGTTTCTAGTTGAAGCACCTCTGGCAACACAACCCCTCTGCCAGAGACTACCCAACCACAAATGGCTTGTGAAGTCCTTGCTCGCCTTCCCTCTCTAGAAGAGATGGAAGGAGAAAGTAAAATAAGGTAGTACCATTCTCACCAAGGCTGCTGCCCGTTTTCTGCTCCCTGGTTTCTGCCTCAGCTGTCTGATAGTTGAGTAAGAGACAAAGCTGCGCAATCACCAGCTGTTACCAGTAAGCAGGTCCGGATATGCTGTTCTTGCTTTCCTTCTCAAATAATATTCTTAATAAAGTTCATTGTTGCCAGCTTACTCTAAGAAAAACAACTGGTAGGCAGCTATGCCTAAACCACCCAAAACAGCAAACCACCTACACAAGTCAGTAATGCAATAAACCCAAAGAACAAACCAGCTATCCAAGTGCTTTCCATCTGGATGAAGGAATTGCTCCCCCCCAGTCAATACAGGCCACCAGAATTAACATACTCCAAAGAAAGATTAGCAGGCCCCTTATCTCAGGAGCTTAAAAACCAGGACTGCTGATGCCTGTGTCTCCAAGCATCATGAATGTGGCATTGGAGTAGCACACCATCATGAAACTCTGGCAGGTGCTGGGACATGCTTGCAAATCACAGTGGGATCTTCATCTCCCACCAGTACTACTCTAGCCTTCTCCTTGAAAGCAAGGAGCCCATCCCACCATAGTCTCTGCAGAAGAACCAATCTTCCAAGCAAACTTGCTGCCAGTCCATGGAGAGGTCTGAAGGACACAGGCAAGCAAATGATACACCCACCCTACTGCTGAACACAGACCCTTCAAAAATCACAAGCAGATAGGAGAGACCACCTGGGCTAGCACCTAAGTCACTAGCTGAAAACACCAGTTATGTGCCTCTGGCAGGGCCAGCAGTTTGAAGAAATCAAAGACGCTTTTTAAATTATGCCTGTGATTTATGATCTAACACTTAAGTGCTGTTTGAGACTCTAGATAAGCAAGAGTACCCTGGAGTTTTGTCTGAAAACCTGGTAAAGGTGGATGCATGAGGGCCCGAACACACCACAAAGCAAGCTGGGACAACAGGGGACAATTAAACAAAAACTGAGCTCTTATCTCACAGTCAGGACTTAGGACCTAGTATTGACTCTGCCAACGCATGTGGGAAAGCAGTGTGGGGGAGGAAAGCTCTCACTGCTGAGATGCAGAAGACTAAAAACTGTCAGTGCTCCTCCGCTTTCATCTCTTCTCCAGCCTCCCAGGGTGGAGGTGATTCAGAGGTTCAGAGGCAGATGCTGCCCTGCCTGGGCTGGCAGCTCTCCACCTTGCCCCAGAAAAAAAGACTTCTCCCAGGCCTCCCAGCCTTTTTCAGAAAAATAAGTGAAGAACATACTCTGTGAAACGGAGAAGCCAAGGCGGAGCTCACGAGAAGAGGCAGCTTTTAACCTTCCTTTGCACTAAAATCGCATCTTTAAACATAAATGGGATGGGTGAAAGGCAGTGTGATGTACCTTAAGCATATAAAGAGATGGTTAGGTACCCAGGAAAGTTTAAAACAAGGCCCACATTATACACAATAATAATTATAACTGCTAAAAGTGTGTGGCAGGCAACCATAAACCTAGGCTCTGAGCAATCTCTCGACTTGCTAGACTCGGTACCAAATTGTATTTATTTTCTCACAGGATTTAAGGAGCAATAAAGTAGAAACTTGGATCAGATGAGTACGTAGCACCAGTGTAAGTGGATCTCTGTAATTACAGCTGTTAACAGGGGCAGAGAACATCAGGCTTTGGGGCAAGGATTGAGGCATATTGGGGCAGGATTACAAGAGATGCTGTCTCCAGGCTGGTTTCCTAAGGTACCTGATGTCTTCTGCCTGTCATCCTGGTGACAAAAGGAGCAGCAGTAGGCAAGCTGCTAGGCAAAAGCACAGCGTCTGCCAGGACCCACCAGTCCCACAATCACACTACAGCATGTTGCAGCCACCTGGCTCTCCGCTGCAACAGCATAAGCAGAGACAAATTCAGATCTCACCACTGAGCTGCAAGAGACAGAGCACCCAGTGCTTAGAGCTATGGGTGGTGGCCATGCATGAACAGAAACACCGTCCTTCTCATTTTACCAACAGCCAAGGGGATGCAAACAAGCCAAGGGACTGGTCCAAAGTCATCAATGGGTGGTAAACCTGGGAACTAAATTCAGACAACATCATTTCCCATCCAGGGCCTTCACAGGAGACAAAAAGCTCCCAGTAGAGGTTTTGGACAGGACAGCCGTTGGTCTCCTGCTGGGCTGTCAGAGCTGGCAGCTCCCCTGGACAGACATGCCTGGGGAGGCAGGGTACACCAAGCAGGCAAAGCGCGGAGTGCGGTAAGAGGCACCCTGCTCTCCAATTATCCTAACGAAATCACAGCTGTGTCACAGGCGCAGGCAGCCAGCAGAGAGGCAGATGCTCATGCACAGATACGCAACGGGAGATGCAAGTAGGGCTGGGAGCAGGGGGGCAGGCTGAGCACCGCTGCCGTTTTCCCCACTCAAAGCCCAGCTACAGGAAAGGGGGAAGGCACTGTATAAGGTGGCCTTGCACATTACTTAAGAAAAGGGCCAGTCCAAACATGAGCACCATTGATGCATATCAGGCCAAAAAAAGTACCCCATAGTCAAGAAATGCATTCCCCCTATGAAATTTCCATTCTCCTCTCCCTCTCCATCTTTCGCTGTTCCTCCCAAACAACCGCTGACAGAGAAAAATTAGGAAGCTGGTTTCAGGAAACACATCCAAGTCATTTTCACTGAGAAGAATTTACAATGGAAGTAGGTCTGGCTGTTCAGATTCCTGCTTACTTTAAATCCAAACACGTATGTCTTTTTAGAGCAAATAAATGGATAAGGAAAAGGGTATTTGAGGCCAGGAAGTGTCAAGAATTGTTTTGATAATGCTTTTAGTTTTAAATTTTTTTTTCTTTTAATGTTTAATGGATAAGAGATTTTTTAAAATGTCATGTTTTGGAGCAAAATAATATTACAAGAGTCCTGGTGAGCTCCAGTCTCCAGGAATGAAATGGTGCATGCAGCACATGTCCTACCACACTACAGCTCCTGCAGCAGAAAGGTCCAGACAGCAAGCCACTGGCATTGGGATCAGGTGGAAAGAGGTAGAAGCTGTTGGCCAGCAGCAGAAAAGCAGACAAACGATATATTGGGACAGTAGGAGCCCCATCTACTCCTGCCCATGCAGCACTCACCCTCTGGACAGCTAACCAGACCCACAGTGAAACAGGGTCCTCTCACCTGGGGATAGTTCAAGGCCCCGCAGAAGGCGAAGAAACACAGAGGAGGAGTGAGATGGATCCCTCTCTGCAGGGACAGCCAGCTCCGGCCAAGTTGGACTTGGACAGGTGTATCTTGGGGTGCCCTTTGGTTAGCACCCAGCTTGGCTCACCCAGCTTTCCTCGACAGCACCTAGGATTTGGTACCGGACAGGGATAAGCAGGGTCAACTCCCATCTGTCCTCCCTCACATGTGGTGTATCACAGGCCACTAATCATACTCTCCAAAGTTGTATCTTTTTCAGGTAAAGGTGGTACACCATCTTTTTTCCCCCTTCATTTTTCAAGACAGAGGGTACAGCAGCACAGGTGCAATAATGTCATCTCCACAGGCTAGCTGTGGGTGAGGGACAGTCCATCTTGGGATAAGGGAGAAAGACCAAGTTTCTTTCTTGCCTTTCCATTCCCAATTGGACACCAATAAAAAGCTGCGCATACACTTCATTCAAAGACAGAACTCAAAGGCACAGCTTGAGTGACCCCAAACAGCCAAAACCAGATACTTTTGGAGTGGCCCCTTTATTAGTAAGCCATTTAATTTATGTGATCAAATACAACGATCACCCTTCTGCATTCATTCAGCCCTTGCAGTGCCTTTGCAAGCACACATCCTTATTTGTTAGCAGAGCAGGGACGAAGGGGAAGAAGGCACAGCAAAAAGAAAACCTGCAGGGCTCGCTTTAGCAAGTCTGGGAGAAGGAGGGGGGAAAATGCATTAGAAAAGCAAGTGATGGGCATCATGGGGAGCCGATGACAAGGGGGCAGCAGGAAGAGGAGATAAAAGCCAGCAAGCAGGCACCTGCTGCTGACACCCCATCTCTGCCCTCCGCCCCACTAGGACATGTTACTAGCAGGGTGACACAATGCTGTTGCAAGTATGAATATGCATCAAGTAATTATGCAGCAGATATTCAGGGGCACACAGCTGATTTACGGACCCAGCTGCAGCCTACAGGGATGGAGACACTGAGCATGGCTGGCAGAGAGGTCTGGAGAAGACCTCCAAACCCAGCCCTTCAACAGCCAAGGTGAATGAATTTGTCACGACCAGGTCTGAAGCCAAGCAGAGCTAACCAAAGCATTGTGTGTTCAATACTGAGCAACCATCACACAACACTGACAGAAACAGAGAGGCCCAAAGGTTAAGGCACAAGATTTAAGATGGGATCAGCAGATTTTGTTAAGATTGGGTCCTGGATTAACCAAACCTCACTTTGCTGCTCATGGTAAATCTCAGCCAATAATAGGTTTGTTAATATGATGCTCATGTCCCCTCCCTCTGCAGCAGTCTGGATTTTAAAAATATCCAAGCAATGTTGCTGTGCATGGGTTATTTAAATGCATCACTGTCACAGCACAGACCTGCTGCAAATAAGACTGAAGATGTATAGATTACAGCTCTCCATACCGAAAAGGGAGGAATCTCCCTCTTTTTGGGTCTGGAGCCACAACAGGACAGTGCACAGGGACTCATCCTGTCCATCTTGCAAGCATCACAGCACGGACGGAGAAGGCATGCTCCTTCAACTCCAAGTAGCCTCCACACAGGTTCATATATCCCACCTCCCAGGGAACACATGGTGTAGCCTATCAAGGAAGTAGTAACTCCACCCTGCCATGAGGGACCCACAGCAATTAAGTGACTCATTGATGGACACACAGGAAACATCACAAAGCTGGGGATTTCTGCTCCCCCACGTTCGAGGTTTTGCCACAAGAATATGCTTGTCATCAACGGCTACAGTTGATTACACAGGGGACAGCGGCACAATGCCTACTCCATCACCTCCACTGCAGCTTGCAGCACCTGTTGGCAGACCTGCAAAAGCAGCAGAAGCTGGGGGTGTTCCTTTCAGATCTTCCTTGGAGCCCACAGCAACGACAACATGCAGGATTTGGATGTGCTCACAGCCAGCATCCACAAGCACATTAGGGCTGAAAAGAAATCACAGAAAAGCGAGACACTAGCCTGTGTGAGATGCAGCTCCACCTAAACACTGAAGCCTGACAAGCTCATTGACGAATAAGCAAAGCCTCTGAGAACAGCAGAGCAGTTGAGGTCCCTCTGATAATGACTAAAGAAAGGTTAGGTATACCTACGTCTTCTTGAAATCCCTCAACTCATCCCCAGTCCCTCAGGACATCCCTGGTAGAGACAATGAGTAAATCCAGATCTGGCCTTGGCACTGCACTTGATGTGGCCATCAAGCTCGGAGACCCTGCCCTACCTCTTTGACTCAACTTAGGTGTTCCTTTACACAGATCAACAATTGATGGAGAAAAGGGCAACGCAGGGCTCTTGTCCTCACTTGGACCAGCGTGACAGCACTGCCAAGTGCTCCCTCCAGTCACATTAACCGGATTTGCATGTTTGAAAGGGGTATGGATAGTAAGCATGCCATGCCTTGAGCTTCAGGGATGACAACTCACTGTGGAAGAGAGAGTCAGAGGGTTCATTAAGTGAAAGGATAAAAAGATGCAAGCGAGCTTGGACACAAGCTCTCAACTGCAAACAGAAAGAAGAAAACCTTCAAGTTTTTAGAGAGAGAATGTCTTTAGTAGGCAGAGAAGTGAGCCAGAGACCAGCACTTGCCCACAGTTCGTAGCACCCTGGCAGGTACCTGAGTGACCAGACACAGCTGGTGCTTACAACACTCACGGACACGATTTCACCCTGTTCTTCAGCACCTGGTTTCTCCTGAGACTACATGAAGGCACTCTAATTACTGCAGCTTCATTAGGGCAGTGTAAGCGATGGCCAGGCATGAAAGATGTCGTAGGGGACTGTCACATAGTCCAAAATCGTCTTTTACTTTTTCCAGTTGAAACCATCTTTGGTCCCAGAACAAGATGTCATCCTGTCAGATGATCTGCAAACAAAAAAGGGGGCTACTACACCAAAGTTTCCACTTGGGAGAATTTATTTCTTTTTAACTCTGGTTGTCCCTGATGTCCATACAACACTCAAATCTTTATCTTCTGAAGCCACCGGCTTCCCTAACAGCTTGTAGCAATGAGGTCCCCAAGCTACAAACATCACTTCCTCTTGCCAGGCTTGCGTATACAGCTTTCCATTTCCTTTCCCAGTGTCCAGCCATCTCCCACTAGCCTCTCAGACTTTCTGATCCTGCTGCCCAAGCACAACTCTGCAATGCTGGGGAAGCGCACATTGCAGACATGTTTAAAACAGAAATCTAGCAGTGTTCATTGGACTTACTCTTGGACTTTGTAAGTTCATGCAAACAGTTCTGTATTTGGCCTGAAAAAACATAACCACAAAAGGCAAACTTAGAACTTCAAAGCCGACTTCAGCTGACAGCCCTAAGTCACCATGCGTCTGTAGTATGGACAAGGAGTAAGATTTTTTTAGTTTCCCAAAGGAAGGGAGAGGACAGCCCAAGCTGAGGACTCAGAACCAAATGCGAGTCCCAGAACTGAGATCTGCCCTCAAAGGATCACCTTAAGTAAAGGATAGAAAGTAGCATCCCTGCAGTGAAGACACTAAAGCCAAGACAGTCAACACTAGTTGAGGACCTCACTTGGTCTGTTTTAATTTTCAACCTTAGCCCACTTAGAACACTTCCCCCTCTCAGCATCTTGAGACAGTAGCAAGGTAGACTGACATTTCCTAGGAAAGCAAGGGTTAAAAATACACCTTCATTCAGCCAGGGAGGCACAGAGAGCACCTACAGAGCAGGTATAAAAGTCAGCAATCATAAAGCAGAAGGAAGGAGGTGACCAAGTTGTTTCCTCCTCCCTGGAGATCTGGCTTGCCATGAGGAATTGCACATGGTGCTGGTGGGCACTAGCACAGAGAACTTGCTCCCGGAATCAGCAGCTGAGTGTCTTCCCAGGATCCTCAGCTAAGAGGCACAAAGCATCCCCTCCTTTCCCCTACCACTGCCTCCTAAGGACACGCAAAGTCTCCCTAAGGAGTTTCTGCAAGGGGAGGGTGACAAAAATAAGCTTGCATATGTTATATAGCAGCCTCTGGGTTCATCCATACTGATGGAGGTGCAGGCACCTGTTAGACAATGCCTGGGGACTACAGTGGAGGAACTGCTGCATCAAAGATCAAGCTGACTCATGGTTCATTGGTTTAAAATATAATAGATACAACAAAACAAAACCTAAACCTCCCTTCAGCCCATCAGGAAAAATTCAAGCATCTGCCTTCAATCCCCTGGTATATTAATAATACAACTACATAAATTACATATGTTATATTTTCTATATGCTATGAGATTGGGGTGGTTGGGAAGACCTGTTACATGACCTACATCACCCTGCAAATCACCGACTGCTGGGAGCATTTCATGCTATCACCCTTTGTCATCAGCCCTCAGCAAGCCAGTCCTGACCTTTTATTCTATTGGTTACCACTGTGTTCAGCATCTGTCCTTGCAAACACCAGCAAAGACAAGAATTGAAGTTTACGCCATGCTTTCTGGAATGGCGGTTGAAAACTGGACCTTAGGGCACCAAAAACCTCATACAACTACTTCTCGGGCTACAGGGGGCTCCAGGCAGGGCTGATGGGACAGAGATGGCATGCACACCAAAAGACCACAGTCTACGTGCTTGCTCAGACTAATGGCTGCATCCCTTTTCACATATTCAGGTTTTTTTCGGTCTGCTACTACAAACATGAACTGTAATAGCTGTTAAGTTGTTGTTCTTTGTTGAAGTTGTTCCAGGTAGGAGCCTAGTCCTGTGTGTGGTCTGGGATTCCTCTCCAATTGCGCTCACCTACACCCACAAAATTTGTCTATGGTGCCTTTGCTGACCATTCAAGACTGCAAGAATGCTAAATGTCACAAGGCTGTTTGGGGTGGTTTTTTTTTCTTCCCGTCAGTGGTTAGGAAAAAGCAAGCACAAAATTGGACAGGTGATGTGAACCAGCACTGTTAAAGATGATCGGTCTACTCGGATGATGCAAACTTCCCAGCTCTTGTCA